CAAATCCCTGTCCCTCTGAAAACCTCTGATCATCATGTCATTGTCCGCAGCGATACACTCCAGGGACTCTGCTTTCACATAATGAAACCAAGAGAGCTGCCCACAGTCCGGCTTATAATCACCCTGTGCACTGTGTGTGTGTGTGTGTGTATCCATGTGTACATGCATCTAGCTTGTCTTTTTATAGTGTTTGAGTGAAAATAAAAGAGCTTCAGAGCTAATGTTCACCCGTGTGTGCACTTAAGTGCAACATGGGGGTGTGTTCCTGCTAGTGTGTGTCCACATCTGTGTCTGTCTGTGTGTGTGTGTGTGTGTGTGTGTGTGTGTGTGTGTGTGTGTGTGTGTGTGTGTGTGTGTGTGTGTGTGTGTGTGTGTGTATGAGTCACTTTGAGAGGTTTCAGCAGCTATTATTGAGCTGGGACTCTGTATTTAATAGGAGATAGAATAATTGTCTCTTCATCAGCTCTCCAGTGATTTCAATAGTAAGTGTCATGAGAATTAAAATTCTTGACATTTTTCCAAATCTGTCTTTGAAAGGTGCTGTATGTTAGGCCTTGTCAGAAGTGACTTTCCTAGAAGAACTGCACCATCAATCCCCCTGTGTGTCATAAACAAACAATAGTTACTCTCTACCAGTAAAAGCGGAGAGGGGAAGGAGAGACTCAGGAGACAGGGTAAACTACTGAATGTGGAAGACAGGAGGCGAGGAGGAAACAGCTTGACAAGGCATCTTATCTCTTCTGTGTTCTTCCCTGTGCTCAGGCTTTAAGCTGCTTGCTGAGAGGTGGAACACTGAATTCATGGAGCAGGTTTTTTTGCGAGCTTTTTTTTTTGCAAGCTTTTCTAACAGAAAGAAAACCAGCCACTGTTCACAAGTCTTCTCATTTGTGCTCTCATTTTGTATGTGGAGAGTGTATATTCAAATTTTGACACAAAGTTGGTATATCTTTCCTGTTGGTGCCTCACGACGGTAGCAAATAAACATTGAAATACAGGTTGCCACAAGGATGTGCAGCTGACATGATCTCACTCACTCACTCACTCACTCACTCACTCACTCACACACACACACACACACACACACACACACACACACACACACAACACACACACACACACACACACACACACACACACACACACACACACACACACACACACACACACACACACACACACACACACACACACACACACACACACACACACACACACAATTTCAGTTTTCAAATCTGTATTCAAAACACTGACGATAGGTTAGCCCAACTACCAACAGCGAGAAGTGTTTGGAGAGTTTTCCACTTTGACAAGCAGAAATTAAAAATGACTTTGAATCAAGGTTTGGTGATACTATTGTTTCTTTTTCTAATTTCAGACATTACAACAAACCTGAAGAATGGACAGGAATTATTCTTATAGACATAACTTACTGAAACACAGTACTGGACTTGGCCTTTGTTTTGAAATTGAATGATGTTATAAATAAATCACCAAAGACTAAATATCCACATATATATTTGGTAATCTACTTGACTCGGACTCTTTAGAAAGACATAAAAAGGACTGTAATTCCACTACAAAAACAGTCCCGTATAAATGTGTTCCTCTATGAAATGACAGCAATGTAATGTTACAGATAGAATCTCTGAGAATCTCTTTCACACAATTGCAATATCATTACAAAGGAACAGTGATGTATGACTTTGATAACGTGCTCACCACTTCTCTCATTCTGTCTTTAGGGGAAGTTCCTCCTATTTGCAACAGTGATGTTTGCACATGCAATTTTGGTAATTCGGTGGTTAATGAGGTAGTTAGAATGCTATTAATCAATATCCTTTTTGCAACTGTGCTGAAAGCAAACACAACAGCTCCAACACAGTTTTATAAACACTGCCGTCAAATACTGTTTTTTGCATTTTGAGAAGCACCCTGAAAGTAAAGTAGGCATGTGACCACATAAGTGTAAAAAACAAATCCTGCTTGAGGCGGTCTCACATTGCTATCTCCGATGTCATCACTGAATTAGTTATGGTTGACCTAATGCTCCTTGTTTGAAAGCTATTTCATGGTCTAATTGTTGCTCATGTAGGATGTTAAGGTAGCACCGGGTCTGCTCACATCTAAAGGCCAAGGAAAAGTGCTGTTTAGAGCAAGGCTGTTGATGTCAAAATACAAAATGTTTTGGGCGCAAACCTTGCACGCTCTTTAGTGGAACATGTAAACATTTACACAGGGGTATGAGTCAACCCCTTTTCCCCCTGCCTTCCTCCTCTCTCTGGGTTGTGTTCTATCTTCCCTTGAAATCCTCATTACACAGACTCTGTGTGCTGCTCTCTTCTAGACTGTTGTCTGTTACTCTTTCTGATCAGCCTTCCTGTTGCTGCAGAGGAACTGTGTGCAGTGAGATAAGGATAGTGAGAGCACATGCTTGCACTGGGGTGGTGGGGGGGAGGAGTGAAGAAGGAACAGATACAACGTGAAGGGCGAAAGGCTGACTAATTAGGAAATTAACAGAGATCATTGCATGTCTCGTGGTTGTTTTTGCAGCCCAGGTGTCTCACAGAAGGGGCATGTGAGACAGCAGCCACATTAACCTGGAGACCAGATGACGACACATGGTCCAGTTTGGGCCAGTTGGTCCCAGCAGCGGTGTTGGACTGAAACAGAGCTGAGGTGGTGAAATATCAGAAGAGCTCTCCTCTTGGAGGCGGTTACAGAACTGAGCGGAGGAACACACAAACCTGCACAGGCAAGGATTAAGGAGACCTCCTGAAATCCAGGGAACAAACTGAGTATGTGAGAAGGGGTGAACTGAAGTTTAAGCCTCCAGGGTCTGAGGATGACTGAAAGCAGGATATGCATATCCATGCACTTTGACTCCTCCGGCATGACACGCATGGGAGACCAGGACTGAAGGGAGGATCAGGCCTTGTTATTAGATCTGGCTCTGGATTGAGAACAGTCTGGGCCACGTACAGCAGGTGCTGTCTGCCTGAGACGTGAGCCAGCGCATTAAAAAGTCCACGAGAGGGGCTGCGTGGGAGGGAGGCAGCCAGTTTTAAGTGGAGGCTGGGGGAGTTTTCTTTAACTGGTCGGCTACACCAGGGCCAGAGTCGGCAACCATGAGTCAGAGGAAGCTGACGCGACAGCTGAGGTTGTGGGAGAGTCCTGAGGGTCCACCTCCTGTGCCCTCTCTCACCTCACCTGTGTCACCAAGTGATCACTCTCGGGGACCCGGGGGCTCTGCTCTGTTTCGACGTATGAAACTGAACCGCAGTATCCAGGAGCGCAGGCGCTCAGCACATTGTTTTTGCAGGTAAAGTTTTGCACCAGACTAGTGATTTGATTTTGGGAAGTACTCACTTAATGATCTCTTATCTATTTAAAAATATGCTCCATCAGTGATTTGTGAGTACTCTGCATTCATGTGGGTGAGATGCAAGTATTACAAACATTTGTTCAAATATTTATTATTCACAAGTATTGAAGAGAGCTTCAATAGATTTCAGGATTTAGTATTCAATGCGCACACTTGTGACTTTATTCAGATGGATTAGACTTTAGAGGAGGAAAAACTCAGGATGCTGAAGTCTTAAAACTACATTCACTGTTTGGAGGAGAAAAAAGAAAGAAAAGAGGATTAGTGCATGCAGCCATCAGAGGGTCCCCCCTGGTACACATTTTTGATGTGTTGTACGATGCTGGGCCAACTTGTGAAATGATAATTTGATCTCTAGCCATATTAAAAAAAAACCTTCAGGGGGGAGGAGGGGCTCCTTAACTGGCCAACTTAGACACGTGTTCTAAAAATATCACACTTCACACTTCAAACTTCATATTCATAGTCAAACTGAAAGCCATACAACAACTGGGTTGTACATGTATAGTTTGAGAAGTTTTGGAGAAGTGGGGAGATGTTGTGGGGATGAAAGTTATATCACATTAAAAATAGATGCTGCAGCTACACTGCAACCTGCTTCCCTGTCTGTCCTTGTCCTCCTACATTTGACAGCAGCCTAAAAGTGTCAATTACAGATTCATATCCTTGTGTATGGAAGGGTCTGCTTCAACATCAAACTCAACCAGTTAAACTGTTAACCTTTTACAAATATTGTATTTGACTGTGCTGTTCTAAAAAAGTGATCAACTATTTTTTGATATCTGATGCTAAACTCCTAATTGTGATTCAATAAATGTCTGAATTTCTTAGGTACAGAAAGAAAAAAACAAACTGGTTTGACGATTTTTGGTATGGAACAATGACTTCAGATGTTGTTGGAAAACAGAAGATTGCAACCTGAGAAGTGTGTTGCTGTGTCTCCTTGGGCTAATCTGGAATGTAAAAGGTTGTGGCATATTAGTTTCAGCCTTGTGTTTTGGATTTTTAATGCTAATCAGCAATGTGATGGCCTGATGCTGTGTCTCCAAAGGAGTCAACAGACATTGATTTGACATGACTGTAAAGGTCAATAACAATGTTCCTTTGTCGCTTCTTTTCTTTTTTTGAGGGTAGATTTAATGTTTGTAGTATCCACTTGGTCACTTTGCTTTTTTGCCAAAGTTTGCTGATGACATAAGCAGTTTTAATATGCACCGTTGTCTATCCTTGTTGGGGATTTTTCCCTGAAGAAATCTGAATCAAAATGTAAAACCTCAATCACTCAGGCTGTCAGACAGACAGCTTTGGCCAAGGGACATGCTGTTAAAGATGTGGCTCATTTTGTTCACTTTAACATGACTTGATCTGAAATTTGACAGCAAAGTGTAATTCTCAGGGCATTCTGGCACCACAGAGACGCTGCTGCATCTGTCACATCTCTCTTTCTTCAACTTCCTCTCCTAAACACCAAAAACCTTTCAGCAGGAAGGACTTCCTTTCTTGTGTTTGGGCTTATCTTGCATCTATTTGTCATCACTGTGAGATACGAGAAGCAGAAGACAAACAGACACTTAGAGCAACAGTTGTAAACTCTTTTTTTCATCTCCTTATCGTTCAGCTTCGATTCAGAGAATGGTCCCTCGCCAGGCCGCAGTCCCATGGATTCGCAGGCGAGTCCCGGGTTGGTGCTCCACCCTTCTTTCCCTCAGAGCCAGCGCAGGGAGTCCTTCCTCTACCGCTCCGACTCGGACTACGACACGTCGCCCAAAACCATGTCACGCAACTCCTCCGTCAACAGTGAGGGGTAAGCATGAAGCCATCATCCTCGATCCGTCACGCGGCAGACTGAACTTAAACACATTTTTTCTTTTTTAAATCTTCAGTGTCCCCTCACAGACACACCACAGTAAGTGCACATTATCCCAATCAACAATGCAACTGTTGTTCTTGTAATTATGCAATCATTATGCTAATGAAATCATGATGAATCTCTTAACATTGACTGCTGTGCTCTGTCTCCTGGCTTGTTGAAACCACCCAAAAAAAACCCTTCCATATTGATTTCAGGGCTGTTTCTCTGTTTGTATCCACATAGGGCTCTGTAAACACGCAGCTCACAGACACAGCCTCTCATATAAACACTAACACCAAGTGCCTCAGCGGCCAGTAACACTCACATTCATCTTTTCTGTTCTCATCTCTTGCCCTGTAGGCACGCCGAAGACATGATCGTCACCCCTTTCGCTCAGGTATGTTTCCTCATGCACCTTCCTGACATGTTAAATTGCTGTAAATGACTAATACGGTGGCTAATTAGTGCAGTGAACTTGTCCCCTCTCCCTTCTCCCCACTCCTCCTGTTCCCTTTCTCCCCCCTTCCCTCCCACTTCTTCTGTCCCTCCTACACTGTCCATCCATCCCCCAGGTGTTGGCCAGCCTACGAACTGTAAGAAGCAACTTCACCATCCTCGCCAATGTCACAACACCCACTAACAAGTCAGTATCATGCTGTCAAACACCCCTCCCCCCACTTCCACTCGTCACGACTACCTGCTTAGTTTGCAGTGTGTGTTTGCCTGTGCCTCCCTCTCCTTTCTCCAGGGAAACACTTTAGCCATAATGATTAAAGAGTTTGCAGTTATCATACTATGCTCAAGGAAAATATGATCTGTAATTCTTTCTGGCGTCCCTCCAACTTGCTGGCTGAGGACCGAGAGCAGAGAACAACTTGCCTCGGCATGTGTGTGTCCCTGACTCTGTACCCAGACGACGGAGATGGTCAATAACGCTAAAATTATTCTTCTTTGAAATGCAGCAGAAAGAGGGAGCTTGAGTTGGCAGGCTTTTAGCGCCACGTCAATATGATATATAAAGCTGTGCTGTACAGAATTATCAGCATCTATAATTATGCTGTGTCTGGCTCTGAAAATGCATCTAACTACATATTATAAACCATGAGGGTTCCTAATAAATAGAATAATAAATGTTGAGCAGAACTCATATTTTGTGTTTCACTATTCAGGGTCCTTGAATATTGGGAATTTATATTCACACATTGGAGTTTTATGATAAAATAACTTTTTAAATAGACATGCAAACCTCTCTTTGTCTCTTTTTCATGTGCCTATTAATGAATAACATACATAGAAATAGTCATACCTCCTCTGTGAGCCAAGCCTTTTGTCCCCTCTTGTTGAAATGATAAATGCATGTTGAACCCCAGCAGGGGGCAGCAGCGTGTGCGTCTCCCTCTGATGTAATGCTGTGTTTGTCCACAGGAGGTCACCAGTGACAAGCCAACCCACTGTTCCCCAAGCTACACTCTCTGGTATGCTGTCAGCTAATTAAAAACTTGCGGTCCAAAGAGACCCACACTCCCCTCACACGGCCTTAAGGACACACTAAGGCTCCCACACTCCCCGAATGCATCTTCAGTAATGAAAATGACTGCAGCACAGACCATCATGTGCCTACTACTGAGGGTCCTCACATGAACTGAACACATTTTACGAGACTAAATACAGTTTGTATCACTCAACATGTAATGCAGAAACTAACTGTGTGTAAAGAAATGAGAATATCTCTGAACAGCCAGAAACTGAAGAATGCTGCAACATCTGTTTCTGTTAAAAGATTACAATACCTTTAAATATAACGTATTTCTCATCTAATCATACAGTTATAAGACAAGTATAGCCACATATTTAGACCTGCAAATCAATCATGGGCTAATAGATGTGTTTTAAATGTAAACTAAAACTTTATGTGGCTTCAGCTGATCATAATTTAAAAATATACATTGCTGTGGCTTTGTTTACAAATATTATATATGTAATATTTATATATCATATTATAACATTATATATAATATTTTCATGAAATCAGAAAAAAATACTTTGGGTCAGTTATTGTAAATGCATGCACTGGCTATAATAGATTTTTAAAAAAGGGCATAGCTCACAGTACATAGATATTTTTTCTAAGAAGCCTTCAGTGCTTTAGCAATATTTTTTCTGCTCTGGTTTTATTGTTGTTCTGTGTATTCAGCATGTGTCTAATCCGCGCGTGTCATTCCCAGAGGAAACATACCAGCAGATGGCTCGGGAGACTCTGGATGAACTGGACTGGTGTCTGGACCAGCTGGAGACCATTCAGACCCACCGCTCAGTCAGCGAGATGGCCTCCAACAAGGTGTGCATATACCTGTCCACACACAAACATCTCTCACGGTGCTGATAGTTTGTCATCAAATTGGTAACTTGGCAAGCTTCTCGACGAATATATAAAACTTTTTTTTCATCACTGTATGGCACATTATTAATATAATGACAACTCATAATGAATAAACACATATATTATGATATTATAAATACCTAAATATATATTTTTTTATAACCTCATGACACTATTATCATAATAAACCCTGATAGTACAAATTAGATGGTGGAAAACTTCCTGTTTAAGCTTCCACTGTACAAATACGGCCTTATTTGCCTTATTTGTATTGTAGCTGCATACAAATAATGCAGCTAGAAAAGGGCACATAAATTACTATCATTTTAAAAAAAATAATAGGCTGGAGCATCAGCAAACATACTCATAAATGTGAGTGATTAGGATCTCTGCATTTTCCTCCTCAAACCTTTGTGTAAAACCTTCACTTTCAATCTTTACATATAAAGACAAAATATTGTAAGGAAAATGAAGTATGATTGTTGAATGAGCCATGTGCTGCAGAGGTATTTCGGTACATTTTTAGAGTTGTATATAAAAAAATAGTAATTTTTAAAAACATGTGTTTCTTATTTTGTTTGTTAATTTTTAGATAAAGTTGAATTAATGTGATATGCACCTCACATGTAGAAATCCATCTCTGGGTTTTTATGTCACTCTGTCTGTATTTGTGTAACTGTAAGAGTCGTAGGCTGGTTGTATTGAATTTTGGTGTTCATTTCTATCTATGCGCATGGGCAGGTTACGTTGAGATGCACACATCTGTATTTGTGGGAGACAGAAGGGAGGAATGGTGACACTGTGGGTATGGAGGACATGAGAGGGAGGGGGTCCTGATGCTGATGTCTCTGCTGTAACCTTGGTTGCTATCGAACAGCAGCAGGGTCTGCCCTTCTCTTTAAGCCATTGGCTTGCAACTCTGACCACAAGCCATGTGGTTTGGGCAACAACCAATCAAATGGAGGCGATGCTCCTTTAATAGTGTTCTTTCTTAAAGGGACAGTACCTTGTTTGTTTTATTCTACAAATTCTTCCCATGTTGCACTCAATAATTATTTATAGTGAGGTTCTTAGTTATTATCATTATAATAACTAAGAATCATTATTCAGGCTTTTGATGAAATGATTGAGAGAGAGATAACAGGGCTTGAATGACATAATGTATATGTATGTGTGTGTACAAATATGCAGAAAAAAAGTATCCTAGGCTAAATGGAGCCTGTTCATTTGGTGCTGCCTTTTATGTAGCTGCAAAATAAGCTACAGAAATCCTCTGCACTGTGCCTACATGGAGGTACACATGAATATTCCCACTCAGTCTCTCACTCATACTCACCCTCACTTACACACATATTCTCAGCAGACGTACATGCTGTCTTGTTGCACATGCGCATCCAGCCAGCCAGCAGAGGCAAGCACAGACACACACACACACACACACACACATGCATGCGCCTGCAGCCACACTGCCTGATTAGCTTGCGAGAGCTGTCTACAGCATCCAGGGAAATGGCGCAAGAAGCAGAGCATTGGAGGAAGAATGGCAGCCTAAAGCGGCAGGATTAGACCTCTGGCATTTTAGACAGCTGAGGCATGGATTGACTAGGAGCAGGGGACTGGGCAGCGGAGCCAGCCTGACTGACTGTGGGTTGCTGGAATCGGTGTGTGCAACAGCACAAGCGAGCTGATGCACCGGTAGGACTGGGCCGGGCCTGTGGATCCGTACCGTGGGGGAGGGGCAGTCGACGCAGGGAGAGGGAGCCTGTTTTTCAAGACCACAGCTCTGGTTTGATTCTTCAGCCTGATCGTCTGCTACAGGCCTGCTCACATCCCTCTCTGACTCTTTCTCCTCCTCCTATCCTCTCCATCCTGGTTGTCTCTGCTGCTACTGTCATCCGGTTCTCCCTTCCTCATTCCCAATGATCCTGCTGCCATCCAAGCTACCCTCACCCCCATCATTAAATTCTATGGTCATCTCTCCATCCTGTCGTCACCATCACTACATCCCTCTCACCTCCATTACCTAAATTTTTTATTACTGTTTGTCAAGCAGCTCTGCCCTCATTATTTTTTTCGTTTGCATATCTCTCACATTCCCACTCATCTCCTCCATTGGGTCCTCTCTGTGCCCTTCAGACGGTCCCTCAATCCCTCTCTGTTTCCCTCCATCTTCCCTGTTTTGGCTTCCATACACCCCTACCCTGCAGTGACTACATTTGGGTCAGTCTGCTCTGCAAATGGGATAAGATGTAGTCTCCACAGCAGCCAGATCCAGGGGGCTCCTGGTCTGCCCATCAGGGGGACCCTCATCTTTGGACAACATTTAGGCTGGAGCCTGTCTCTGGACTGACTGGGGGGTCTGCTTTGGGGTGCTGCATGTAGGCAAGGACTGTTTTCAACAACAACCCCTACCCTCACCCCCTTCCCCTGTTCCTTGGTCCCCCATCTCGGGGCAGCCGTCACTCTGGAGAGTCCCGGCTTGACTGGTTGTGGCCTCTCCCCACACACCCTGACGACGCCCTCATGCCACTGGGGCACCTGCAGTGCGCCCACCCCGCTCCACTACCGCACCTCTTGCCTGTGCCATCGGCCCAAACCCCCTGTCACCCTCAACATGGGTGTGGTGGAGGCCATTGACCCTGCACCATCCCCTTGCCCCTCGCCCGTACCAGGAGGTTACAGGCTGCCCCGCTCCTCCAGCTACAGCCCCCTGCAGGGGAGGGCAGGGGCAGAGCTGGACCTTGATGCGGCTGCTGGAGGGGTTCTGGATGGGGGTGGGACAGCGGCAGAGCGCAGGACACCCTTAGTGGACCTGTTCTGTGAGACCTGCTCCAGGCCCTGGCTCATCGGTTGGTGGGACCAGGTAGGACTGGGAGAGTTTGCAGAGGGCAATGAGGCCTGGCAGTGGCCATCTTGGATAAATGTTTTGACTCTTCAATTGTTATGGCAACATTTATGCATGTGTGAACAACTCATCTATTTGTGCTTACTTGCTGGTTTTACTCCAACCATAATCTGTTTATGAGTTGAATGTCTGTTAGGGAGAACATTACAGTACAAGGTGCTTCATGGAGAATAGTTTATGATATACTAGATAAAATCTGATGTGTTCAAGGAAGGTTTTATGGGTCAGACAGTGGCTTTGTGAGAAACTGTGGGTGGTGGGTATATTCCTGTACATTTTTAAATAAATCCATGAAGGGGAACAGTGATAAAGGCACAGAGTTAATTAACTCTTCTCTGGTTTCCACATTGCCGCAGCACTGTAAACAAAAAAAACAATATCACTCTCATTCTTTGTCCTTCCATACTGGTCTATATTCCTCTCCTCTGAGAAAACACCAAGATGCTCCGAACACAAGAAATAGCTTTTGGAATTTTTTAAGTAATCTTGCTGTCTTCACTGCAGGTATTTTGCAGTGTCACATAATGTCCGTTTCCATCCTCCACACCTGCGTCCCACATCCCACTGCCTTTCTCTCCTGCTACTCTGAGGCTGGCCTCAATAAAGACTCAAGGAAGCCAAGCATATTGTTGTTGAAGGACAATGCTTATTGTCCCAGGATTGAGTAGATGTTTTATTTTCTTTCTTTATTCCTCAGGTGTGCCACAAAACATCCTTAAAAATATATGAGGTTTGACACTGCGTGAGTTTTTTTCTCACATGTCAATTATGCAGTCGATTTGTTGTCCTTTCACCATGTTAGTTAAGTCAATTCCGGGTTTTGTCGTTCCTGCTATTTTGTATGGTATGTTGACCTTTTGATACATAAGTTGCTTCAGTGCTCATTTTTTTGAATTATGAATTCATTCAAAATACAGGTTAAGTTCAGAGGAGTGTCAAATTTAGCATGTTTAGTATTCAGTTCCAAGTTGAATGTAATAACTGGATGCATAGTATTTTTTCATGAGCCTACATTTAGGTAAATAAAGATTTCTGGTCCCCTACATGTGCAGCTAGCAGTTAGCATTTGTGGTCATTTCAGTGCAACGTTAGCATGTCTGCTTTATTAGTCAGTGTTAGAGGGAGAGTGCTGTTTGTCCTGGCACTCGGACTGGCACCGTGGAAGTGTTGGTTGGCAGCTATGACTCAGCTTTACATTATAACAGAAGGGAAGAATGAGAGCGAGAGCAAGAGAGAGGAATAGGTTTGGGCTGATCCTTCTGTCTTAAGTGTGCCACTGGGCTTGACTTGCTTTCCTGATGACTGACTCTAAAATTTGATGTTTGCTTGCGCAATCATAAAACAAAGGCCACACCAGACGGCATGGGTCAATAAAGAGATTTGACTGAATGTGCAGGAGTGAGGACAAGGGAGGATTTTGGGGCTCGAGGGCTGCAGCGAGGAGAGTTGTTTACCTCGGGAGAGAGGGGAGGAACAGAAATAAGAAATAGACAGATGTAGAGAGGGAACAAAGCAGGAAGGGAGGGTTGACCTTGGTAAAGGTCAGAGACACCTGCCTACTCTCTCAGATTGTCACCCAAGCAGCCACCGCTCTCACATCAAGCTGAAGGACTGACTATGAGGAGGCAGTTGCCACGGCAACCGCTCTGGTTGCCATGGGGATTGTTATGTGTGAAAGATCAGTCAGTAGGACACAGACCGAGGGGTCTTGTCCAAATCGCATTGTACCTTTGAATGACTTGTGCGACAGATGGCTTCCAAGCCTCCAAACACAACCGTTGTTAAAAAATATTATACAAAGGCTGAGGGAAAATTGAAGAACAGTGTTTTCTGTCTGCAGGGATAATGTATTCACTTAATCACATTTTCGCTTGTACTGCAAAGACCTGCAGACTGGTTGTCCATGACAACCACTGGAGAAAAATATTTTAAACAAACTACATTACTGCGTATTGAAAATAAATGACAATCAATTGAAAGAAGTGTGAGTTGTTCTATTGAACAGTATGTTCTCAAAAGAGGAGGGATGATTAATAATTTATTTTCTCATCCTTAAGTGTATAAAGTGAGATTGAGGATTATAATCCACTGTATCATATTTGACTCACAGAAATGTTTTTATATTTATTAGAACAAATGGGATCCTATGCATAATGTTGATTATTCTGCTGATGTCTTTATTTTGGAGAATTTTGTGCTTCTACTTTGTCACACACCTCTTGTCTCTATCTCTCCTCCCATCAGTTCAAGAGGATGTTGAACCGGGAGCTGTCCCATTTGTCAGAGATGAGTCGCTCAGGGAACCAGGTGTCAGAATACATCTCCACTACCTTTCTAGGTAACACAAACCTGCCATGCTCTGATGACCAACAGCTGTAGCAAATCCTTTATGGCGCATGTGCCTGTAGCCTGAGCCAAGCACAACACAAGTCTCTATTCTGACTGACCTCCATCTTGCCCCCAAAAGATAAGCAGAATGAGGTGGAGATCCCATCCCCAACTTTGAGGGAGCGGGAGAAGCCCATGTGTCATATCAGTGGTGTGAAGAAGCTCACGCACAGTTCCAGCCTTTCTAACTCCACCATGCCTCGCTTTGGGGTAAAGACTGAACATGAGGATTCATTAGCCAGGGTAAATATTTCTTCAATTGTCGCATTTGTTATTAAGGGATGAAATTGATTTTTTCTGTCTTGCTGCAAAAAACTCTAGCGAGAGAACAACAGTCTTAGCTGACAGGCCTTTTTCTGACCATCTGAATGCCATTGTCTTACTCTAAATATAATAACAGACCAACACATGTTTAATGTCTCCTCAAAAAAAATGTTAAGCACTAGAGCAGAAACCAATTGCATTATTCCAAGACTTAAAATACAAAAAGATGTCAAGAATTATAACCAGTTGAATGTTGTAAACTTTAGGTTCCATGCAACTCAGTACAAATCTGATAAATGTAATTATTTGACAACAAACATCAATGGTAACATGGATCTTTGCAAATAAGATGGGTGACACTATGCTAACTGGTTTTAATAATGTTTGCTAATGCTGTCTGTTGTGCCTTCAGGAGCTGAACGACTTAAACAAGTGGGGCCTTAATATCTTTCGTGTGGCAGAGTTCTCTAATAACCGACCCCTCAGCTGCATAATGTTTGCCATCTTCCAGGTGAGAGGAACTGCTTTGACTAGCACCTGAATGGTAACACGTTGCTTGACTTATTGATGTCCATGGCACCTGTGTACTATCTCTGCTGCAGGAGAGAGATCTACTGAAGACCTTCCGAATCCCTGTGGACACTTTTGTCACCTATGTGATGACCCTGGAGGACCACTACCATGCCAATGTGGCCTACCACAATAGCCTCCACGCTGCAGATGTCACTCAGTCCACTCATGTCCTGCTATCTACACCGGCTCTAGATGTAAATACCTCGACTGATCTGCCAAAATTCAAATGGACAGACTCTCACAAACACAAGGCCCTCTTCAAAGACTATAAACTGCGCCTTAACATTTTCCCTTTTTCTCTTTCTCTTCTCACCATAAGGCTGTGTTTACTGATCTTGAGATACTTGCTGCACTATTTGCTGCTGCCATCCATGATGTGGACCACCCTGGAGTGTCCAACCAATTCCTCATAAACACAAGTGAGTCCAAATCACATTTAAGAAACACACAGACATATTAATCATAAAAGTGGGAAAACAGGGGACACCATGATGGCAGTGACTCTTTTTATTTCTTCTATTTAAAAAAATAATATTTTTGGGGCTTTTTGTGCCTTTATTGTAGAAGAAAGTGGATAGAATTCAGGGAGAGAGAGAGTGGGGAATGACATACGGGTAAGGAGCTGCAGGTCGGATTCGAACCTGGGCCGCCCTCTTGGAAGACTACTGTATGGCCTCCGTACCACTACGCTACCTGCGCCCTGATGGCAGTGACTCTTAAAATACAACTTTTGCTAAAAATCAAAATGTCCTAGGTTTGATTAAACCTCATGTATTGCATACAACCAAAAAAAGTGCTCCTAAACAAAGAACAAGAACATTTAAATCATAACATAAATTGTCTATAAAATCCCTTTTCCCCAAAAAAATAAATAGGTAGGGCAGGTCCATTCACTTGGTCAGTTTCAGATAAAGCCACTACTCTGAGTCAGTTATTTTCAGAACATCTTGTATTAACTTTCTTTTTACCAAGAAAAGTTGTTTTCCTTGCGTTTTTAGATTCCTTTTTAAAATTCTTGTGTCAATCTTTGTGCAATTTTTTACATGAGTTTCCTTGTTATTATGTGTTTGAGACCTCTATACCGTGTTTTATCTACTTTTTGTGAATCAAAGATCTGAAGAGTATGTTTAAGGCAGCACAGTCTTTTTCTATCACTAATGGTGAAATCATGTTGCTGCAGATGAGGTGATATATTTACTGTGTTTTGACCAATGTCTGTCCTTTGGTGCTTCCTTCAGACTCAGAGCTAGCCCTGATGTACAACGATGAGTCTGTGTTGGAGAACCATCACCTAGCTGTGGGCTTCAAGCTGCTCCATGAGGACAACTGCGACATCTTCCAGAACCTTAGCAAGAGGCAAAGGCAGAGCCTGAGAAAACTTGTAATTGATATGGTGAGTGTAGACAACACAATCTTTCTGAATCATGAGAACTATTACCTTGCACATAGTTCTCTTTATCTGCTCCCATAGTTCTCCTTCCTTGCCCAACAACCATTATGAAATATATCCATATCAACTCTCTTTCCAGGTTTTGGCAACAGATATGTCTAAACACATGAGTTTGCTGGCAGACCTCAAAACGATGGTGGAAACCAAGAAAGTGACGAGTTCTGGAGTACTGCTGCTCGACCATTACACTGATCGGATACAGGTGAGATGTCATCTTCAAGTTAAATAACTACAATTAAAATTCAGCGATTCAGCAGATGTTTTGATTTCTTAGTTACAAAAGAACTGAACATGACTAAGGATGTATTGAATGTAAGGGTGTAACGGTTATTTGTCCCCATCCGTGACGGTATGGATGTCAAGGTTCTGTGCATGAAGTCTTTCAACAAATACATCTGAGGGGAGAAAAAAGGCAATCACATGGCGGTATCTACACCCCAGTCCGGGTGGCTGTAATGCTTGTAGCTGTTTCCAAACAATATTTACTCTTTCCCCGCCATTGACGAGATTTTGCAGTAGACAAATGCAGTAGATCTGCTTGCTATAAATCAGTTATTTAGGAAAACTTTGGGTTTCAAGTCGATATGTCATTGATAATGCGTCAAAAATGCTAACTGATATTAGTTGGCACCATCCACACGTGCCAATCTTCGCAGCTAGGTGAAAAGAATAGGTGTCCAACAACTAATCCCTGCTGTTTACCAAAAAGCCTCTGGATGGGGTGCTGGATAACCTAGCGTCTATGTTGTGCGCCTGATGTACTGAGGCAGTAGTCCTCATCACAGCAGCCAATATGGCAAAAATGTCCCAAAAAATAAGCCTCTGGATGTGAAAGCAGCAAGAGGGTCGAAGACATTATACCAAAGCTAGTTACATATAGGCCTACATACATACAACAGCTATGTGCCCAGTAGCTGATCCTGGATTCAAGTGTGTATTAATAGTGCCCAAACCTTGGTTCAATATCACAATCCATGTGCACATAATCCAGTTCATGATCCGCCCTTCACTGGTGTACACGAGTGGTGATTAAACTCGAATTGTCCACTTTACCTGCTGTTGCACTAGTAACAGATGGATTGACCTCCTGTGCCTTTGCTAACTATCACAGGTAGTTCTAAAAGACACTGAACAAACTGTAACTTGTCTAACTGTCAGTTCAAAACAAATGAGAGAAACCTAGACTCATGCATTTCGTTCATTTTGCTGATCTTTTCCTGTTGTACCGAACTCATGCTAAACTGTTACCCAAAAACTTGAGGTACAAACCGTGACTGCAGTGTACCGTTGTACCCCTAATTGGTTGAAATGATAGGTTACACTAGCAGGTTACAGGTTAGGTTCAAAAGGAGGGCTGAGCAGGATGTAAACATTGTTTTGGTATGGCTGATGTAAAAGGTCACTGGCGGGTTTAAAGGTTGATTCATACCACTACGTCAAAAAGTGTTTGAACCTTTGTAGAATGTGGCTCTCATGTAGAAGATATGGCCTTGTCATAACTTACAGTAGCGGTAAAACTGTGAATATAGAAGCTGCAAGAGCTGTGTGTGTGTCCGAATGTTTTGCAATTTCTTCTATGTGTTCTGTGCTTGGACTGTAGGTTGGTAATGAAGAGTTAATTCCTGTTTTTTATATGTTTAGATGTAAAGTGACTAGTAGGTTCCAAATGTTTGAAATTTCTACAGTTAATAACTTCAGCCAGCAGCTGTAACATGCCTGTAATGGCTACAATGTAATGGCTACAATGTAATCCTTTGGGGCAATTACAGACAGAGACACAATAGGCACCCGCTCTCTAACTTTAGACAATGTGTCAGCAACTCACAGAGTTTTTAGTCACAGACTAAGATTTTGCAAAGACTGGAGATCTTACAGGGTCACTAACTGCAAGACTTCAACAAGTTTCTTTTTGAGATTATGACCCATAATGTATAAATTGTCTACATAAATACCATTAGGCCAACTCATTCAAATAAAATGAGAAACCCTAACTATATGGACGTATTTCTTTTTTTTTTTTTTTTACATCTTATCGTTTCTATCTGATGAATAAGATGAATAGTTTTTGCAAGTCCCTGTAAATATAAGACAATTCTCAGTCAAAGAAACATATACAATTAAAAAGAAATCCTGAAATATAATATAATGTAAACTTTTTGACTTTTTAAAACTTTTTAAAAATCTTATTTGAAGGGCCTTTAAAGTTGTGAGGGTTTAATAATCCACTCCCACTCCGCGGTAAGAGGTTTTTAGATGGCACACAATGTGGCAGACACTCCACGTGAGCGCACAAATGGAGTGGAAATGGAAATGTGTCGGGAGAGGTTGTATAGAAGGGTTTGAGAAAGGCCCTATAACTCCACATTCCTTCACCTCCTGCCATGCTTACCAGTTTGCAGATTCCTGTTCGGTGAGGGCAAGACCGCTCCTATTGGTTGTTGACAATGGTAACATAATTGAACATCACAATTCGCATACGACGTGACTAAAGACCTGTGATCGAGATTATGGTTATGCGCCCAAACTCTTGTGATTTTATTCCAACTTTGGCAATTTGTCCGTGACTTTGAAATCATTTGAAATGTCATTTGGTGTTAGGCCAGCATAAGGTGCTTATTTTTGTGATTCCAAGTTTCTGAAAACACCAAGAAAAGCATCCCTCCAGTTTTGAAACCTGTAGGTAAACTCTAAGTAAAAGAAGGCAGGGTCTTACTCTGCACACTGAAGGAAAACAAGCTGCTGCAACGCTGCAAAACTCTGGTGCTAAATCAGGTTGTATTCAGTTGAGTGCTACTGTAGAAGCTCAATTAGGTGTGTTTTTTTGGTTTAATGAGTGGGACCTGTTGTATGTTGTCTTGATTTGTCTAGGGATGATGATTCAGACACTTAGCAATGCTGTGTTACCACTTTTTGGGGAAATTATAAAACATGCTAGTCTATCTGCTGTCCACAACGAAATGCACCCCAAATCTCTTCCTGCAGCAAGTCCTGAGCATTTGAAAGCTTTCATTCAAATGCGCATCTAAAAACACATCCCAATTTAAAAACTGTAAATCGTAACAGAATGTGAAGATTTGCAAAAGATCTAAAACGTATTTTTGATTTTAAAAAAAGAGCAAAAGACAACGTAACAAATTTTGAAACTGTGAAATTACATGGAGAATGACATTCTCATATTTAATTTGATGCTGACAGAATGTTTTTTAAGAAGTTGGGACAGTGGCAACAAAAGACTGGAAAAGTTGTGAAATGCTTAAAAAAAAGCTGATGGAACATTTTACAGTTAATGAGGTTATTGAGGTTAGTAACTTTATTCTGTATGAAAACAGCAGTCTTTGTGAGGTAAAGATGGGGAGGGGTTAACCCTTCTATGAAAGATCGAACAGGCAAATAGTGCAAGAATATAAGAACAAAGTTGAGTGCAACTGCAACATGCACATAGTACTGTTAAGCCCACCCCTCTTAGACAACATGCATTTGTTTACAAGCAGGTGGTGCAAAGTTGGCAAAAATGTTAGACACACAAGAAGCTTAGAAACCATGCTGACTGACAAGGTACAGTAATACAACCAGATTTTGGGTGAATATGCAAGTGTTTTCATCCTGTTGTTTCCATTTGGAATATGTGTATGTGTATTCAACTGTTGCCATGGTATCTATGGGCTGTGGCTAAATTCCTACATTGGAGAGGGTGACGTATTATGCTAGTTAAGATAGGTTTGTAAGATTCCCAACTTACAGCATATCTGTTGTGAATAATATGGGCTGGGGTGTACACACCTGGTCACTCCCTTTTTTATTTTGTGCCTTATCCGTCACCGTCTTCTTCCTCTGAGCCGCCATATCAAACCGTACAGATACGGGCTAACTGGCTTCTATTTTATGACTGAAGGCTTGTGTGTGTGAACAACCAAACGCCATACACACTTCTTGCAAGTTGATCGCATCTGATATAATGAGGGTGCATTAGTACACATGGAATGGTTAAGCTGCACCAAAGTGATGGCGCAATTAGTGCTGTATACCATATGCACGGATTTTGGAGTAATGTTTTCTGCCAAATAGACAACTTCTTTTTCAGGAAAGGTCTTAACCCACAGTCTGCATGTATTACATCAGTATATGGCTCCATTTTAAAAAAGAGTCCAAATGCTATTTGACCTGCCTGCAGTCTGTAAGAATGGTAAAAACACTCCTCGTTCAAAACGACTGAAATTGGTCTCAGTTCCCAAACTCTTAAAGACTGGTGTTAAAAGAAGAGGAAATGCAACAGTGTTATACATGACCATGTCTTAACTCTTCATCAAATTCAAAACAGATTACCAAAACAATTACGTTTTTTTAGTTTTAACATTTTATATGTTGTCTTTTTGCTGTTTTGAATTCAATACAGGGTTTCGATGCTTGGAATGGAACCACAACAGGGTCTCACCCTGAAAGGGTTACTCTGTGATACCAGCTTCTCTCTAAAGAAATTACAAAAACATATAGATGTTGCAAAAAAGATTTTACTGATTTGAAAATATTTTTTCTTCTACTAAAGAGCTCACAGTTGGAATCTACAGTTAAGAGCTCAGACCATAACAACAGTAAACTATTTTCCTTTCTTAAAATGAGACTGCCGCCGCGACCTGATCTCGGATAAGCAGAAGACAATGAATGGATGGATGGAAAATGAGACTAATTAGCTTTAATACTCACATTAAGCTGACCATTTCCAATGATGGTCTGACTGAATGTTACAGTGTGCTGTGTTTGTTCCAAAAACTGAAGATAAAGCCCCTAGAGTCATACGATTCCTTTGGTGTTTTGTCTTACTACACCGTAGACTGTAATTATGGACGAAGCCTGAGTGAGGTCACCACCAGCAACTCTGGACCCCGTGAAAAGATATCACATTGGGCCCCTACTACGGCCCAAACTAACCCAGAAAATTTCTATGACCATCACACAAATGACCCATAAAAACTTTGAACAACTATGCTTTGTTTTACACCCTGAAAATGGAAGATAAATAATCACTGTAATATTTCCTCATAGCTTAAAAATTATTTAAACTTCGTAATATTTGCACCTTTCAGACATTTGAAACATTTCCAGCAGCATTATTTTACTTATTACTTGCTATAGTTAATGTTCTAAAGGCTTTTACTGTCTTAAGTGATCTTATTGGTTAGCTTATTGAATTTAAATTCTACTGGCATTAATGATAAACATACAATAAATCTGAATTAGATTCTACCATACCTTTAAAATGAGGCTGTAATAGTTCTTCTCTGTTCTGACTTCACTTTAATTCTTCTTACACTGCATTATCATTTGTCTCAGCTGACGTTCAAAATATTGTTTTTTGGGCAAAAGCAGCGGACTCAGTTTTGCTGCTAGCGCGACAACATTGGTATCATATGAATTGACAGTTTGGAAAGAATCTGTTGATATCAAATGTGTGTGTTTTACCGCGATGTAATATTTTTACAAAATAGGGTCATATGAAATCGTATCTATGAAGGGGATTCATATGGTGAATTTATGCATAAAACACAAATTTAACAAAACGATATTCTTGGCTTAATCTGGTTTAATCAGCAGCCTGCCACATCTCTCCCTCTTGACTCGACTGACTGACAGACAAAAGAGGGGAGAGGGGCCTTTCAGACAGACTCCACAATTTTTTCCAGAAAGGAATTCTGAATGTTTGTTTATTTATTCAGACAATTTTAGTCATCTTATTGCGGTTATAACTTAGAGAAAAAAAGCTAAATAAGAAATAGATTTTTATTTATTTTGTTTCATCCCGCCAACAAGCCAGCTACCATCTTAACTGGCGAATTTGAAACTCTTTCCCCTGTTGTCATCCTCTCTTTTCTCTCAGTAAATGGACTGAAACCAAATTAACCGGACTTCTGCAACCATATGCTTTTTTTAGTAACGGTTTGTTCTTCTTAGCAACAGTGATCAATCAATGTATAGCAGACCGTTGCTATGCTTAACTGGCCAATCAGAATCAAGTATTAAACACAGCTGTGCAATAAATGTATGTAATAGCTGCCAGGTGTATGTGTCAGATGAGGTGTGTTAAAGCATACTGCCAAAACAGCCCTTTTCTTTTCTTAAGTCATTTTCCACTGCAGAGATTCACAGTGAGTGATACCTGAGGCTGTTCAAATTAAGATCAGAAAGGACTTCTCATGTTCAAGACAAGGTCAGCAGAGATCAGAGGCAAAACTTCATCCACAGAGGGCTACAAAATCAATGCAAACCAATAGTTTCTCATAAGATCAATGTAGGTGACAGAATTGTAACAGGGAGAGAAGATGTTGCAGTTTTGCTTGGCTTTTTAGAGGAAGAAGAGTGCATTTGAGGTGTGACTGGAAAGTAATGTGAGAAAAGGGAGGAAAGAATTGAATGAACTTGAAAGAGGTGGTTAGATACAGGTTTTCACCACGTACTTTCAGCTGCTTAAAAAAAATGTTTTAAAAGCACAAATGTTCAGATTACCATGGGGAGAGATGAGGACACGGTGAGGTGATCGTCATGCATATTTAAGTCAGTGTTAATAACTTATGAAGTGTTAATGCAGTGTGGAACGTGTGACTGTGTGTTTGTGCAGGTGTTGAGGAACATGGTGCACTGTGCAGACCTGAGCAATCCTACTAAACCCCTGGCCGTTTATCGACAATGGACAGAGAGAATCATGGAGGAGTTCTTCAGGCAGGGAGATAAGGAGAGAGAGCGAGGGATGGAGATCAGTCCCATGTGTGATAAACACACTGCATCTGTGGAAAAGAGCCAGGTAAGTGAGCATGTCTGATGTATGACTCTGTAGACTACTGGATAATGCTGTAGGTGGGGTGCTAACGACATTTTCAGAGAGCGATCTGACATCTCTGATCACAGCAGTCATCCTCGTACATTTTTAATGCTAATTATGTTGGGATGAAATGACACCACTGTGCTTGTTCTTGTCATGCCAATCATGCTCTGTTTTTGTGGATGTAGGTGGGCTTTATCGACTACATTGTCCACCCACTGTGGGAGACATGGGGGGACCTTGTGCACCCTGATGCCCAGGACATCTTGGACACCCTAGAGGACAACAGGGACTGGTACCAGAGCACTATACCACAAAGCCCCTCCCCTCCTCCTGTGGGCCAAGATAAGGAGCTAATTGACAAGTTTCAGTTTGAGCTCACCCTCGAAGACAGCTCTCCGCGAGAGGAGGGAGATGAGGGTGAAAAGTCAATGCTAAACCACGTGGAACAAGACTGCAGTCAAAGGGAGGAGGAGGAGGAAAATAAAAAAGAGGAGGAGGAAAACACAATGGTAGAGGAGGAAAACGAGGACATAATAGAAGAGGAAGATGAAGTGGCAATGGAGGAAGAGGAAGCTGAGGAGGAGCAAGAGGAGGAGCTAAAAGCTCGGCTGGAGGTGAGATCTGAAAAGGAGAGACTTTCTGACACAAGTCCTGTAGAAGAAGAGGAAGATTCTTCTTCACAAGCTGAAGATACATGAGTTCTGCTCCTGTATCTCCCTCTTCACTTGCACACATTATCTTGTTCATCCTTGGCCAAACCAAGAACAAAAATAAGACTGCAAAGACGATGCAGACCTTTAAATATATATTTTCAAAAAGGGAATAAATCAAAATTGCTCAAAGAGAAGGTAATTACACAGCAACTGTAGATTTGGAATGGGACAAGTCCTTGGACTTATTTCACAACGAACTCTGAACCAAGAGGAATTTAGGAGATTTAAGATGGGCACTAAAGACAGCGTAGCACTCTGGTACTGGAATGCACACACATAAACACACATCAAGTCACACAAGATCACACATGGTAGGGTAATGTGTTGAAGTGCAGGCATCAGTGCATTTCCACAGCTGAGACCAATGCACAGGACACACACACACACACACACACACACACACACACACACACACATACACACACACACACACTTGACTTTATGTTTATGTGTGTGCATAAGGGCCATTGATCATGTAATGAATCTCTTTGGAAAAAGCCATCTCTCAATGGAGTATTAACTAGTGTTCAGTCAGTATTAGTAATTCATGTTCGTTAGAACCTCAACAGAAACTGTTCTCCTCAGAAAAGCTACATGTCCGAAGGGACTTTTTTTTTCCATTTCTGTCGGAAAAAAAAAAGAATATCCACAGAGTTGGAGGAGAGAGGAAGGAGGGTACAGAAGGAAAGAAGGATGCTGCGATGAGGGGGCCGCCTGGTCCCACACCCCTTTTTCCCTTTACGAGGCGAGTGCTACTGGTGCAAGATGGCTCTGTGCCTTTCAGAAACACCAGCTTCCTGAATGGAGCTGTCGTGAAGCAATGCATTGTGGGCTGGGAGTGTCTGATTTGTTATAATTTTTTGATTGTCTCTTGTTAACGATCTCTCACTGTTCATGATATCGTGGTGTGTATCTCACACGTACAGTTACTGTGGTGATATGTTTTAAGCTGTAAGTCTTCCTTTTGTTGCTCTTCTGGTAATATAAAAACTCAGAACTCTAGATGCAGAGCAATCACTACCCGCCACCACAACCACCAGTGGTTCTCATTTTCAGCTTATGTTTTTTTCTTATTAGAATTATTTAAAAAAAAAAAATTCAGAGAATAAGCCATGTGATGCTTTGAAGCATATTTTTTGCCTAATATTCTATTTGCTGGATATGTTCAAGGGGTACCGATTTATTTCATGAGCAGAAACAAATTCTCAACCGCCATCTCACACCCTCTTGCACTGTGTGTTTATGTCTCCAATGATTCTCACCAAAGTAAAGGATGAGAAACTCTGGCAGTTTGACAGTGGAAGAAAGGATTGGAAGGAACTCAGAAATATTTGAAAATCAGGGAGGTAGAATGTCAAGAGAAAGAAGTGCGACTTGGCCAAAAGGAGGTCCGGCAGTCCCTAATCATCCTTGTTATGTTTGATGCTTTTTGCCTTAATGTGAGATGCAGGAAACATACCTGCCAGTATGTAGATTTATAAGATATATAATAGATATCCTAGTATATTTATATCACGTCTGTATGCTTATTTCTGTGAGTATCAGTGTGTCTATACACAATGTATCCAGCATTGCATTTGGATGGAAAATGGAAACATTGCTGACAATAAGTTTTTATGCAGTTGCTTTGCTGGGACCAATGTAAAGAATGTGTTTCAATCATGACGGTAAATGACGATCTTTGAACTACCTGGAGGCATGCAGAGGAAATAAAAGAGGGTATTTGCAGGAGATTAGAGGGGAATAAGGATGTCCTCTCTTAGAAAGTGACCAGATAATAATTTACTGACATGGTGTAGTTGATGCTTTTTTTTTGTTCGTTTGCTTGTTGGCTTATTGTGTTGTCATGAGCAGGCTATTGAGTAACCAAAAAAAGAGAGAGAACAGGACGTTAAAGATATTGTCATAAGTGTAATTTTATTCCCTCACTGGCATCACCACACCTCGTGAGTCGTGAATGGTGTTCGGGATTTGATTAGCACAGCTTCAATAGGTCACAGGTTTGTTTAGGTGTTTGTTTTTCACAGGGTAAAAAAAAAACAATGAATAAAAAAACATAGGTGTGGTTGTTTTGAAGGTAAAAGCGAGTTTCTGCAGGTCAGTAACTGAGTTTATCTGAAGACACCACAGCTCGGTGCAACAGAAACCTGTGTGTTTGACCTGCTCCATCGCAGGATGGGGCAGAGCTGCGGGGCCACCACACAGGCTTTCTTACTGGTAATGGGAATTCAGGATTACTACTAGGATTACTTAAAGGTTCCCATATGCATCGGCCTTTTACTTTAACGATGTTGCTTTGTTTTTGTGGCTTCATGTTATATCATAAGCTATAAAAACGTTACTATTTAATTGCCATACAAACACAATACTGTAGCAATTGTTTCTTATTAAGACAATTATTCAACTGATTGATTGCTGCCATTCTTTTTAAATGATGAGAAGAAAACCATGGTAAGTGTTTTCTTTGAACAGTTTGTGTACAGTTTATTTTTATATCATTCTGGTGGATGGTCTGGAAAATAAATCAAGTATTGATGATAGCTATAAGCATTACCACTCTTGTATATAATGTAATATTGGAATGTAAATGAGAAATTTATCCAAGTCAAAATGATGACAAATAACTACTTAGGGTTGTTAAGTGAACCACAGAGGCCCTGCAGGCCAACCCCCCCCCCCCCCCACCTTGTTACTTCTATGATTGTTTTTGTTCACTTGTTGCTTACATTCTGTCACTATTTTCTGTGTCCACATTTCTGATTCAAATCAAATATATTTGTACCAGCACTTTATTTCATCAGGTTTAGAGACAGGCGGTGATTTTCAGGTAGTGTGGGGTCTCTGCTGGTGGTTTGGTCATTGGAGGTCACCTGTTGATTATATTCCATTGGGCCGAGTCACAAACCTTCATCATGCAGTCGTCAACGTTTACCTTTTTTCTAGTGGTATAAACAAACATACAAAACATTGTCAATTACTAGTCCATGTGAGATTAAACTCATTTGACTGATGCGGTCAAATGTAAACTGATGAAGTCACATCAGATGTGATATGTTTAAAGGAATCAAATGTGTCCTTATCCAACTTGGCCATTTCTAGTACTATCAACACCTCCTTTTCTTAGTAACTTTAAATCACTAGCCTGATAGCCTAAATGTTTGTCCAATGGCGACCAAACTAGCTGGTCACCATCAAGTTACTTTGTCGTCGACTGAATCCTTCTGTGTAAAATTCTCTGGGCTTTAATACATATGTTTGTTCACAAGTAAGAAAGGTTATACAAGGGGAAAACAACATTAAATGATTGTAATATTTGTAAATGATCTTGTTGTAATGTGTAAAATGTGTCCAAGTTATTTTTTATTATATTATTTTTATGAGAGTTTTCCTCTTTAACAGAGCTGAGGTGTCATTTTGTGAATAAATGCATTTAATAAGCAAACATCTATATATAAAACAATATTATAGTATATCAGTATATTTTTCTTTTATTTCACTGTTCGGTACTGTAAAGTGTGTTAAAAATACAAATAAAGTAAGATTTTTATATTAAATGCATCACCATTGTCATGTTTGGTGTCATAAGAGTTTTAGTGCAATACATTTTTGGAGGTTCTTAAGAAATAGACTGTCATTATTTAACTTCTTTGCAGGCTTTCATAAATAAAGTTAATTGATAAGACTAGATGCTGATAGTGTAATCATATTTTGAGACTATACAGCATTAATTGGTGCTTGTTTCAAGCCTCATTTGCTTAAACTGAGGGTTGTAACCACTAAAATGAGTCTTGTTTCTGACATTGTGCAATTTGTGGGCCTAAAACTTTATGTAAAACCTGGCCCAAATACTAACATATGATGTCACTAATGATATAATATGTTGGCAGAAAATGTGATTTTGTGAAAAACATGTACATACATTTGGATGATTATGGTTCATTTAAATAGACAATAGTACAATTGGAGGTTATTTGTATGGTTTTTTTTTGTACGTCAGTTTCAAATAATGTGTAGGTGAAGCATGTTAAACGGAGACAACCACCTGCAACTGTCTGTCGCTGGCATGAGATGGCTGCATCCTGAAATGTACCCAGAATCCTCGACTCCAGACGGCTGCCAGAAGTCTTAGCCAATCACAAGAGCTAAACAAAGCATTGCCCAATCACTGGGAGACAAGACAGCTATGGGTGCAGATATGCGCATGCGCTTTGTCACTGCGAAACTGGGCGTTTCATTAGCCGGCAACGGTAAGCTATGTTTTCAAGAGTTTTTCATTGTCATTATCTATTTTAACTCTGAATTTTTATTGTATTTTAGGTGTTTTACTAAGGTATTGTAAAGACATGAGCCCTATTGCTATTTGTATCAACTTGCTGATAAATAATTGTCCGTATGCTAAATCCGCTAGTTAGCAATTATTTGTTAGCTCTCGACTATCTGACAAGAACTCGTCTCCTCTGTCGAAATACGTGATTTTTTTTTAGTTAGTGTATTAAGTTTGTGCGTATGTTACAGCATACTATGGTTAATACCGTGTATTTCTGGTTTTAATCTTCAAATTCTGTCGGATGTGTTACACAGCTGATTCTTGCTACATTTTCTCAAACTGCGGAGGTGCATCCACAACAACATGTCGTGTCTCTACCTGCTGCTGCTGCTGCTGAGTGTGGGAGTCTCAGCGGTGGAAGTCACACGCCCTCGTGGTGTCCCTCTATCAAGTAGGCATTCATTATTATAATACAACTATTAAAAGAGAGCTATGGATAGTTATCAACTCATTTGTTGGTTCTCCTCTGCAGAACGGCAGTTCTATGAGGAGGACAAACCTTTCACTTGCCTGGATGGCTCCCGCACTATTCCCTTTGACAGAGTGAATGATGATTACTGTGACTGCCAGGACGGCTCTGATGAGCCAGGTGCGTATGGTTTGCATGCTTTAACTCCTGTATTACCATGTCGTTCTCTTCTTTACTCTACCTTTTATCTTCTTGTTAAGGCCTTAAGTAGATAAAATGGGTACTGACAAATATAGGTTTGCTTTGTCAGTGTTATTCTTACCATTTTTATTCAATGACATCTTTTCTTTTCAGGAACCGCTGCTTGTCCCAATGGCAGCTTCCACTGCACCAATGCAGGTTACCAACCAGGCTTCATACCTTCCTCCCGCATCAATGATGGAATCTGTGGTATGATTCATAATTTTATAACCCATTTCTTTTAAGGTGGCTCAGTGTTAGAGTTGTTCATCCCTCAATGGAAAGGTTGGCGGGTCAATCCCCTTGCTCCCGCAGTCTACAGGCCCAAGTGTCCTTGGGCAAGACAAAATGGGATGGTGCATGATCCTTTTAGAAATATGTTTTGGTTTAAAGTTAGCCCTTGAATCCACTTATTCATTTATTATTTCAATTTGTTTTATTTTTAATGAGTTTGTATTGTTTGTTTATTTTTATCTGCTGTACAGCACATTAAGTTTATTTTTGCATGAAATGTGTTATACAAATAAAATTGAATTGAACAAATAAATTGAACAGTATGGATGAGTAAGTGGACACTTCATGTATCAGTTCCATCAGCATGTGGATGTGTGAGTGGAAGTTTAAATAAGATATGTAGTGTAATGCTTTTAGTGGAAGACTAGAAAAGTGCTATGTGCAGTCCATTAATTATTTTAAGGTGAGTTCGCAGAAACTTTTTTCAAACACTGTGTTTCCTGTCTAGACTGCTGTGACACAACCGATGAGTACAACAGTGGGGCTACCTGTCAGAACACATGCAGGTGGGGATTTGCCTCTTACTGTAACCTTTTGTAGACCAGATGTTTATTCCACTGAGCCAACACAAGTGGTTGTATTCATATTGAGTTTTCAATAATGTTCCCTTCGTTTGTTTTTGCTAAGTATTTTGTCGTAATTTGTGATTGCAGGGAACTATTGCGCAAAGAGACAGAGAGCCTGCAGAAGTTGGCCGAGATCGCAAAGGAGGGTTTTCTGCTGAAGCAACAACTTATCCAGGAGGCCAAGAAGGGCCTAGAGGATAAGAAGGTGTGAATGACTAAGACAACTTTTGGTGTATGCTTATTTAATATTTTAAATGCAGAGGTCTGAAACATTGATTGCAATGTTTTCAGTTATGTTTGTATACACAGACACATACAGTTCAGTTAAGAAATGACAAGGTGCCTATTACAAACCTTGTACCACTAGTCTTAACCTCATCCTGAGAACATCCTACTCAATCTGAACGGGCTTGGTTCATGTTCAGATACCACGTCTCCTGTAAAACATGCATTCAATATCATTCCGGAGTAATGAATTCTCATAAATTATGTCAGATTATAGTGAGGTTATTGGAGGAAAACTGTTGTCATTCCTCACTGTTTATTATTTTGAAATTATTTCAAGCAGTTTTTTTGAGGCCAATGTCGTAGCAGTTGTTTTCCCAGGAGGTGATGTTTAAAGTATTGTTTCATAAGCTAAATTCAGTTTTCAGATAATGTGTGGGTCTCATTTAAAAACAACTAATACATGTTTTTATTTGTCAGGTTAAACTTGCAGAAGTCCAGGTTAGCAAGAAGGATCTAGAAGATAGGGTGGAAGCTATTAGAACTGAAAAGGAGACCGTAGAGCAGCCAGAGAGAGAAGCCAAAGAGCGCCATCTCAAGGCCTGGGAAGGTAAGTTTAAATGTAAACAGATATCACCATCTACTGTTTGTACAGAGTATCACATTACAGATTGTATAAGTGCTTTTTATGAACACTTTGATTTCAACTTATATGTTTGATTGCAACATAACTAACTGTAGTAACACCATGAAAGGAATCAAGAATAAATCTTTTTCTTCTTTTTTTTAGATGAAAAGGCTGCTATTCACCTTAAGAAGGAGAAAACTAGAATGGCTAATGTGTTTCTTGAACTGGACGATAATGCAGATGGCTTGTGAGTATCCGCATCCTCCAGAATTTGTAGTGCACACAATGAAGAAATATTTGGGATCACCTGTAACCACACAGGTATATGTATGAATAGAACAGGTAGACAGGCTGCATTTTAAAGTTCTCTGTACATTATTATAAGGAGTTGACATTGATCCTCCACAGGGGGCTTAAAAAACATTTGGAATGTGATACAGAAGATAAGGTTTTGGTTACCTAAATTCCATCCTTGTCTTTCATATGTAACATGTTGCTGATCATTAGTCGAAAGACTGGCAGGCATTTAATTAAATGTAATTAACTCTGAATAATCTTTACATTTTGTTCATCTCAGTGTTTCAGTGGCTGAGCTTCTGTCTCACTCTGAGCTCGACCCAGATTCAGATGGTTCATTAACAGAAGCTGAAGCTCAGGTAAATGTTTTTTTTTTTTTTTTTTTAAAGTATCCTTTCAATAAATGTACTATTGTTACTCTGTTGTATCATTAAAGGAAAGTTAACACACAAAAATCCAAGAGTGAAAATAGATTTTGTTCACTTAGGGACTGTTGGGAGGTGTAGACAAAGTCGACACGGTGGCATTTGAGTCTGTTTGGAATAACATCAAAGAAAAATACATCTCCGAGGTAAGAATGTGAAAATTATTTTCATGAACTTCATGGTTGAAATCTTCCGTTCCTCTAAACGTGTCGTGGCATCAGGCCAGCGCAGACAACCCAGCACCAGTGGAAACTCCGCCAGAGGAGACGAGGGACTCGGTCTCTGACAATGACTCGGAGCAGTACCCTGAAGATGACATCCCAGAGGAAGATGAGGAGGATGATGAAGAGGATGATGAAGAGGACCCAGATGCGGGAGACTACAAGGTAAGCCCACTGAATTTCTTCATCAAACTTTGGCTGCATGATTCTAGAGGTTTTTGTTTTTTTCAACTGAGTCACTGTTGTCTGTGTTCGACAGAGCCCTCCTACGACACTGACTCAAGAAAAGAAGGATGACGATGATGAGGGGACTATGCCACCCTACGACCAAGAAACGCAGAACCTCATTGATGGTAAGAATGTGGATGAAAAAGAGTGACTCAGCCTATCCTCAGCGATGAGTAAGTGAGTCATGCTGTAAATTATCAGGAAGAAAGCACATTCACTGGATATATACTTGTTTGAATTCTGATGTGCTATCTTTAAACTCATCACTCATCCTTGTTTATCAGGGGAACAAAGTGGTTTACTGAACAGCTGTGTTGCTTTTTTTGTAGCAGAGGTATGCTGCTTGTCGGTTCTATAAGCATAATCAAGAAGGCAGGATTTGCTTTGACGGATTGTATAACTATAAAAGCACATCCATGTTTACGTGTTTGGAGTGAATTTACATCGAGGTTGAAATTTGTTTTCCAGCTGCTCAGAAAGCCAGGGATGAGTTTGATGAGGCTGAGAGAGCTCTCCGGGAAGTAGATGATCAGATCAAGTAAGTAGAAAGCCTGAACATCAAGAAGCTTCTTGTCAGCAATTGAAAGAAATTTAATTACTAGCCCTATTCAGACTGCCTGTTCAAGGTGTGATATTTACATTCCTGTGACGTTAGGCCCTCACTGTGCTTATCACAGAGACGTAATGGGGGTACAAAGTGATTCCCCCCCTTTGTGGATTGTAACAGAGATGTTACAGGGGAGAGACAGGAATGGCGGCGCTGGCAGTGGTGGTCATCGCTGTGTGTTTGCTCATCTGAGTGTGTGTATGTGGAGCTCCATACACACAGCTGTTACTACATGTTGTGCTTCTGCAACGCCATAAGGCAATGTGAATTCACAGACTAGGACACCAATATTACGCCCTTGTGGATTCAACGTGACAAGGGTTGCAATTTATCCACAGCTAGAAACATGTATGCATGGCATCTACTTTGTATTTTACATATGAAGCAATGCTCATGTTGTGCATGTGTCTGTGTTAAATAAACAATTAAAATGAATATTCACCTGCAGAGTCCATTTGCACATTTAAGAAAAAGCTAAAGACCCTGCTCTTTCATGAACACTTATGCACATAATGATCAGGATGGTTTTGTTTATAGTGATGATGACGATATTTAGGATGGTTCTGATGCTGACTAGAACTCTCAAGAACAGCTGTTGATGTTGTGCATTGCCTATCAGCACCTCTGTATCAGACTTAAAGCTGTTGTTCATTTACACTTACTGATGTTGTTTCCTCCTTCCTTGCTTGTGTTGTACTTACTCTCTTATGTATGTAACTTTGAATAAAAGCATCTGCTAAATGAAATGTAGAATAATATATACAAAGATGTATAAAGGCGGAGCTTGGGTACGGCGCTGTTGCAGAATCGCACTCTGAAAAGAGTCCCAATGGAGGATGATGTTGCGCAACCAGTTTGTTATACATTAAAGGCTGTACAACTAAATTAACATTTTAATATGTTTGTAACTCTAACTCTTTTTCCCTTCAGGAACATTGAAAAGGAAATCTCCTTCGACTTTGGACCCAGTGCTGAGTTTGCTCACCTCTACAGCCAGTGTTATGAGCTGTCTACAAGCGAGTACGTGTACACTCAGACTCTTTAAAAATGTCCTGTTGTGATGAAAAATTTGGTGATGAAAAGTTTCTACTACTTAAAGAGTAAGTCAGTGTTTGCTTTTAGGTACATCTATAGGCTCTGTCCGTTCCACAGAGTATCTCAAAAACCCAAGTATGGCGGATCAGAAACTAACCTGGGGTAAGAGAAGAACTATATAGTTCCCCCCCCCCCCCTTTTTGAGTTTTATGCTGCCTCTTTAGTCCACATTTGAATCATCCTGTACTCTGCTTTTTGTAGAACATGGGGGAAATGGTCTGGTCCAGAAAATGATGTCTACTCTTTGATGAAGTATGAACACGGGACAGGGTGTTGGCAAGGCCCGAACAGATCCACCACAGTGAGTATCCGCTTCTCTGCCTTGACTTTCTATGTTGTTGTTCTAACCGATTTTTAACCCCATTAATATCTCTGGATAGAGATCTGGATAGCAACATAAATCTCTTTGTCTGGCAGGTCAAATTAACATGTGGGAAGGAGACCGTTGTGATGTCTACCTCAGAGCCAAGTCGCTGTGAGTACCTGATGGAGTTCACCACCCCTGCTGTCTGCCAGGAGCCCCCAAGCCTGGATTTAGGCCTACATGAGCATTCGGAGCTCTAGATCATATAGATTTGTGAGTAACTTGGTCCTAAAATACAACATTAATGATGAATTGAGGCAATCTTGCACTATTTTGGGTGTGGCCCATTATGGAGTTTCTGTTGCAGGACAGTTAGCCTAACCCTAACCTCTAATTGGACCTAGATTTGGCAGAGAAGTGACTGTTTTGAGCATAAACATCTACTGCACCTACGCAGCACAGGAGATCAGCCTTTTTAGAATATACTTACTTTAGCAACACAAAGACCAGTGACAGTCAGAGCTGTCAAGATTTAGCGTTTTAACATTTTGTCTTGAAGAAACACCTTCGTGCAGTTACCCTTTAGAATAAACGAAGGACAGGAGCGAGAGCAAGGTAAAGGAATCTTATTTGAGTTTATTGTAGCTGATGCGTTCATAGAGGATTAAGAATTAAACCGGCTACAGTATTGGTCTCTATGGTTGATTTTGTGGTGCAGTATCATATCCATCATATACTGCAGACACTTTCACTCTTCACGTGTTCACACTGCTTTGACAGTTCAGCCTGTTGTAGGTGTTAGTTAACTTTTGTCTTTTTTTAACAGAAACATTTATTGATAGTATGGATTATAAATGATTATAAATAATTATATGGAGGATTCTTTCTATTTTTAACAGCTGTGTTTATATGATACCACATTGCATCATAGATACTGCCAAAACTTTCAGTATATTACTTAATACAGAAATAGCTTTTCAGGTTATGTCATTGTAATCAAGACTATAGACTACTTATGTGTATGTGATATTGTAGCGTGTGCTTTTCTGTTAGGCCCTGCCCCTGGTGGTAAGTTGAGAGCATAGGTTGTAGCATAAGAGCATAAGAATAATTAGAGACTATTTAAACTGGAACGTGTTGTTATTGACTGTGTCCAGGACCTCTAAACCCAACACAAATATGGATTCTGATTCTGAGCTGGTACACCACTGATGCAAAGGCTTACTCTCTGGAAACTTAACCTTCAGGAATCAATGACAGTGAAATTGACCTTCACTTTCACAACTAGAAAGTCAGGACCTAAGCAGACGAGCCCTTTGAAATGTACCTTTGCTCTTGCAGGTTTTTCCTTGAGGGACCACAATCACTGCAGCAACATGATGTTGCCAAGCAATGAGCAGCTCCACCTTGGTGTCGGTTAACAATCAAGAATCAAGGATGGAAATTCCAATAAATTCACACTTCCAATTTCCAAAGCTACCTGGGTTGTGCTGTTTCTGTGAATGTGTCAAATGTCGTCATTCCATTGTTTTTCTCAAATAAAGTTCATTTTATCATATTCCACACCTGAGTTGAGTATCAACAATTGTGATGTAACAGCTTGTGATTAACCCACTTGGCCTCCAGATAAGATCCATGCAGCAGGAATTTACTGTAGAAGAAGACTTACTATAAAAAATAACTGAAAAGTATGTGTAGAAATCCTCAATACATGTTTTAAAATGATGCAGTCTAATGTTCCTCTGTAAACATTCAGCACAGTATGTATTCTGTGTTTCATTTATTGAGATGAACAATGTCGGAAAAGAGCTCCAAACCAAACTTAGAGACACAACGACAGAGCCATTCTTTTAATAAATCCTCTCATCGTACTTTGAAAGTCAATAAAACTGGGGCCACTCAATATTTGTAACTTTTATTTTATTTTTTTCTGGCATGTAAAGTACAAATAATTAAACAATTCCATGAAAAAGTCTTCAAGCGTCTTCAGCTGAAATCCCAGTAATAAATATCCTAGACTAAACTGAAAGGTTTTCATTTGTTTTTCTTCGTTAAATTTTGACTTTGATCATTTGGTCATGTTTGGAAGTATGAGATTTTTGTATTTCTTTCCACTGACAGTGGTGTCAGCAGAACTGTTTTGATCATTTTCACCTTTTGATTTGTTCTACCATTCCAGGAAAATGTAAGAAAAACATCACTAAGTTACTGCGTCCCCTCTTCTAAATAAATAGACACAAAATACAGTTGGTTGAGAAACAGAAGGACCACTCACCCCATTACTACCCTAGAGACTCTCAAGAAAACCTTCTTGCAGCTTTTTTTCAGCACTGTTCTATTATGCCACAGCTCTTGGCCCGGTTTGTCTTTGCATCTCACTGCTTCAGAAAATATTAGTTTCAATCAGACAAATTCATTCAGGTGATTTCTGAATTCAGTGCTCTTCCAAATAAGGAATCATTATCTTTTTTTTAAATTACATTTTGAACTATCAGCTTAAACAGGAAAGCATCTTGAGAGTCTTTCAAAACCAAGGACACCCCCCTGTTGTTGGCTAATTGCTGGACCCCGGCCGGATGGGCCGAAAGCCTCGCTACAGGGACGTCTCATGTCTCAGGGGTTCACCGAGTGGTTGAAAAAACAAGACTGTGATTAGATTAAATAATTAAAAGATATTCATTGAACAAGACAAACAGAACACAGGCAGTAAAGGCATAACATCTAGCACACAGCATGTATGTTTATACACTTCAATTAGGTAAATATAGCAGTGCATTCTTTGACTATGGAGAACATTTCCAAATCATACTTCTAAAGCTGTTTTTCTATTTGTCCCCCTTTTTAAGAAACGAAATGGTGTAACCACAATTTTGGCAAACTTAAAATCTTTTAAACTTGCAAATATAATGAAATAAACCATAAATATACACAAAACATACTTTATACGAGGCAATAATAATAATAATCATAATAAATAGTTTTTAAGTTAACAATAAGTTAAAACTACAAGCTTAAAGTCGCCCAAATAATACAAGTTTGTTGGCGCTATTTTGAATTTTTTCTGTTTAAATTATTTTTATGTTGCAACAAAAGCTACCACAGACTTTTACAAACACAATTGAACACAGTTTGATTGAAATAAAAAAAGTCTAACTAAGTCTAAAATCTGCATACACCGTCAAAACTGCAACTAATTAAATAATGGAAGAAAATAAAACATTACCCAATCAATGCAACCGAACAAAAATCTTTGACCCATGTGTGTTCTCTATGGTAACATCAACAACACAAATACGCTAATTTAACAAGTGAGTCTTGATATGTAAATGAAATCAATAAATTACAAGAAAAAAAAATGATATTTGAAATTGACATGGGCTAAAACTGATGATATATTAGACAGTATTCCTTTCAAGGTCGTTAAGAATTGCTCTTTTAAGTCAGCCAGATATGCTTTTTTTGTCGAGCTTGCATGGTCAGAGCACAAATTAGGGGGCTGAGGAAGTGATTATGGAAATGTCGAGATCCGAGCTCTCATTGATTGTTTGATTTTTTTCTTAATGAGTCTGTTTCGTCTGAACTTTTGCTCCTTTCGTTATCCCGCAAACCTTTCAAGTGTGACGTTTAATTTCTTTTTTAAAAAATATATATCATTTGTAATCAGTCAATATAAAAACAAAGCACATTGCACTTACTGTTCCATAGGAAAGTTTTTTTGTCTTTTTCAATGATTATTGTTGTTGTTGCTCAAGCAGTGTAGTACTGTTTCCTGCCATGGTCCTTGGCTCTCTACTGTTCATCAGGTTGTAGGTCTTTTTATAGGCTGTGTATGAAAGGTGTTTTCAGGCCGTGGGTTTGCTTTGTGGGTTGACTGTACTACATTGGACATGGCTGGGTAAACAACTCCAGCTGCAGTTCAACGTGGCCTGTTATCTCGGTTGTTTCTAAACGTCTATCACTCGTCTCACCAAGTGCTCAGTCCTATGGTGCTCTCTCTCTTTTTGCAAATTGCTCGACCCCAAAAATGATCTAGATGAGACCTTTTTATGTGGCCAGCTCTGAACACAAAAGCAACTATCATTCAGAGTATTTCAGGGATGAAACAGTATGAGTCAGATCAGAAGATGCCAGAGTAAGGTGTGCAGTGTTTATGTTTTTTAAAGGATTCAATTGGTCACGAGACGAAGCAATGATTTACATGTCGGGGGGAAATACATTATATGGATGTGTACAATTGTTTCCTTCGTCTAGAGGTGATCATCATTAAGGTTTTTTAAATCTCTGATATGCCTTTTTTTATTCGTCGTGTGCAAATTGGATGACTTTATCTGTTTCATTTTTAGCATTTGGTTTTAGTTGTTTTAAGATTAACAAATGCAAACTGATATGCGCAACTTATTCAAAAGTAATGATAACAGAAATTGGAGAGGGTCCTTATTCAATAAATAACATAGATTTGTACAGCAATTACTCAGGGAATAATATAGTTAGTCTTAATTAATCCTTCTTGCAACTGACTTGCGAAGCAATTCTTTGGCAAAAAATCAAATCTATCTAATCATGAAGAATCATGCTCAGTGTTCATAATGAATCTGTATCACTGTTTGAATCTGTGTTTTTAACCTTTTTATTTGCAAGCAGCTATTCCGTTTGTTTTTTTTTCAGCTGGGCAGTGAGCCAGTCTCACTGCAGCTTTGTCTGGGATTCTCAAGTCAAAGAACTTCACTTCACTGCACCATCATTAAAGCAACACTGTACACAAATCCAGGACAAATGATGGGAGTGTGTGTTCACGCACTCAAGATTACAGATGTGTCTGTCAGGTTGTACCCTAACTTTACATTTAATTTATTTTTCTTTCTTTTTTACATCAAATTTGTTTTTGTTCAGTTTGTTTCAATCGTCTCCATATGCTTGAACAGTTATGTTTGTATGAGATACAATGTTCCTTCGCCCCCTCCCTAAATCCCCTCCCATACACCGCATGCTTATTCCCCCTTACTCTGCAAAGATCAGAGGGTTTAAAATAAAGCCATGCGATGTCCCAATTTTTCCAAGCTTAAGAATCTGTAAAAATTCAGCACAAGGTCTTGTTCCTTTGTATGTATAAAAATAGATTTATCTCTAATGTAATCCTTTCAAAGAGATCGTCCTCTTTGGCTAACACAGCGTCATTTAGAAAAGCAAAAGCAAAAATGTCTTGATATACTTGACCTTATTTAATCTATTATCATGTGCAGATGTCTTGATATTGTTAGACATGAGCTCTCCCCCATGGTACATCTAGGTCTGGTCTTTAACAGACATTCAACTAGACAGGTTGGCATTAATGTTTCATCAAGGGTTCCATAAATAATTTTCATGCATTTGGGTTAGGGATATTTAGAGAAATGCTATTTTTGTGGTAGGGCCAAACAGATCTGAAGCAAATAAATACAAATCGTTCTGCTGTAAACAGAAGTATAATTATGACCCTAATTTGTAGGCTTGATGTTGTACAGTCATTATTTGAGAGGGCAGGAGTTCAGATTTCCTGGGAAGCTTTTTTTTAAAGAGAATAAAAGGTTTTTAAATAAAATCGAGAAACATTTGGCAAAGCTGAAGGAAGTGTTAATCTTTCGCCTCGGTGGAAAAGTGATCTTTTTTAACATTGCCAGATATCATCGCTCACACACCTGACTCTGAAGTCAGTTTTAAATGTTCTCTTAATCTGCTCTTTTTTTAAAGTACTATTTTATATGTTCAACAGAATGGTAAAACTAAACCTCACGTTTGAGCTTCTACCTCTTCCCTAGACTGAAGAATAATACCGGTGCTCTTTGGGTTTTTTGCTCATCTGTGTTACTTCAGACCTCTTAAGACTGTTTGTCAGTCAATGGGGTGGGCTGATATAAAGAGAGATGTCTACCCAAACCATGGCTCACAAAGTGGCTCCATTTAAAATGATGAATCTAAAGTTCATGTTCAGTGAAGAAGTGGCACAGAAGGAGAGAAAACACCGGTATTTTTCTTTGGCTGTGGCTGTGAAATGATTCCCCCTTGCTCTCGTCTACTCCTGCCCACAGGAGAGTTACCTATGAACACTGTCAGCATGGGAGCTCTGCCACTCTGCTCTGAGTTTACAGACACAGGTTTGTGTGAGGACCATCCTGAAGATAGGTTAGAAGAAATACAGGAACTTTTTCTGTGAACTAATTTTTTTTTTTAGATTTATATATCTCCTAGACTTTGATCTATGTTTGTGTTATACATACGTGTACTATTGTGTTGTTCAGTGTGAGACTATGAGGGAAAGAGTGATTCTGACGGCCTTCGGACTGCTCTTCTCTGTGACCAGTATTCATTGGTTGACCTATATCTAATTAGGTCTGAGCTAACAAGCTCACATAGGGTAGAGAAACTGCCTTTACGTTAGGCACCACCTAATGAAGGTCAGGAAACAGTAGTCAAAGTTTCTAGAAAATGCTTACATACTCGGCTATTATACCACCTTAAATATATAGTTATATTTTTTTAATAGACGTATATAAGAGAACACTGTTTTTTAATTTCATTTTCTTTGA